GGAGCAGGGAGAGAGATATTTGGGAAACAGATTTAAAGTGTTTGGTTTTCTTTTAGCTTTCCATTTGCAAAAGGATTATTAGAGAAAATGGAAATGACTCACATGATTTACCAGGAATTTCCTACTATCACCTCTTGCTTTCTTACCTATAAACTGGGGATGTTTTTGTAAATTTCCATGTAGTGTATAGTTGACCATTGGCCTTGGAGCAAACAAGGTTTGAACTGTGGCTTCCAAAATGACTGGGTGGGTGGTTTCAGGCAAAAGACTGCCTCTGGGCTTTACTTTCCTCAGCTGTAAAATGGTAATTCCAACAGTGCCCAATTTATAAGGATGTTGTGAAGAGTAAACAAAGCAGGAAAGGCTTAGAATGGTGCTCATCACATCAATGCTCAGGTAATGTTAGTTCTTTTTTTTTTTTTATTCAACAAATATTTATTGAGACCTACTGTGTAGAGCACACCTATCCTATGTTCCGGACTGCTAGCCCATTGGATATGGCTCCCCTTGTTTCTGATGCCTTTTCATTAAGGAAAACTCATAACTGGGGTTAGAGAACATATGTGTTTGTATATATGTCTCATATTTTACATTCATTTTTAATATTGATTTTATTTTTTAAATACATGGCAGCGGAATGCATTACAATTCTTATTACACACATAGAGCACTATTTTTTTTTTATCTCTGTATATAAAGTATGTTCACACCAATTCATGTCTTCATACATGTACTTTGGATAATGATGTCCATCATATTCCACCATCATTGCTAACCCCCTGCCCACTCCCTTCCCTTCCCACCCCTCTGCCCTATGTAGAGTTCTTCTATTCCTCCCATGCTCCCTCTCCCTACCCCACTATTAGTCAGTCACCTTATATCAGAGAAAATATTTGTCATTTGTTTTTTTGGGTTTGGCTAATTTCACTTAGCATTATCTTCTCCAACTCCATCCATTTACCTGCAAATGCTTAAAAATGTTCTAACATTTTCAAGAAATGTTCTAGTAAGTTATGAATAAAGCATTGGACTACAAGTTCCAAGCATCACAGAACCTGTTCTACTTTATTCACTATTTCATCCTAAATGTGAGGCTCTGAAAAGTCACTTTCCTTGATCTCATTCCTCTTTTGCAAAATGCAGGAATGACACAAAAAGAATTGTAAATTGTAGAATGATGAATTATAATTGATTATCTTAATTCTGCTACACTTTCCAGGAAAAGGATTACAATACCTTATAATGTAATTTTTACTTGCAAATAACTGACAGTATGAAGATACCACAGAGTTGCTATATTATGGTCTTTGAATTTTCAAAAGAAATTTAATGCTGATTATTTGCATCACTAAAAAGGGTCTTAAAGCTTGCTGTCACTAATACTGCCACCCAACATTGCTATCCACACCCCCCCCCACCCAAGAAGCTCTGTGGAGAGGGAAGGAGAATGAAGTTGGATAAAGAGTAATTAATGGTGCCATTGTCATAAATTCCACCTTTCTTGGCCCTCTAATTCATTAAGGTTGTGTGTGAAAAAGAAAAACTGAACACTAAAAGGCAGTTAATCACAGTGACTTAAGCTTTCAGAGTCTCAGTCTGTCTACCTATAAAATGGAATAACAATTCCTATCTCATTGAGATTATCGTGAACATTTCATATAATAAAAAGACAAAGGATCAGGTAAGGAGTGAGCTTTTAATCAATGGTAGCTATTCATAGAATAATAATTGCAATTAAAAAAGTATCTATTAGGAAACTACTTCCCTACAAATATTACCAGTGCTAAGAGTAATTCTTCCAGCTGGTATCACACAGTGAAGATGTTCATTTTCTGATCTAGATAACAGACATGCTAACACTGCACCAAGGAGAGACAATAGCACAAATCATATGCTTCCCAGGTAACCCTGTTTGTGGAAGGGCAGGATAAGAGATGAGGACTGATGGATGGTCAGCTGGGGACAATAATGTTCAAAGTTAGATGGACAATTAAATCAGAAGACAGGAACACAAACAAGCAGCACAGCACAGTGGTACAAGCAGTGCTTGAAGGTATGACCTTGCTTGGTCTCCCTGTGCCTCAGTTTCTCTGAGTACAGGAGAATGGAAATAGTAACACTAAGCAGGGCTATTATAAAGAGTTAAAGAGTTAATATTTGCAAATGGCTTAGAATAATACCTAAGATACAGTAAGTGTTGTATACATAATTTGTTAAATAAGCCAGAGGAGTGAGAGGAATGGCAGAAGTCACACAGAATGGTTTGGTAGGAAATTTTTGGAGTCAAGATTAGTGAAGTGGCCTTCTCCAGACATAACCTGGAAAGCTACGGGCTCTTGGTGGCCATGGTGCATTGATTCATCTTTGAAATCGCAGAGATGAACCAGTGGCTAAGACAGAAAGGAGCCCCAGCTGAGACTAGGAGTAATGGAAGTATGTACAAAGACAAGATGATGTCCCTTCCACAGCAGTCCACAGTATCCCAGCTGTACATCTCCTAAGACAGAGCCCCAGAGAGAAATTGAATCCTGCTCACTATGGCCTCCCCCTTCCACAGCGCTCACTGAGTGTGTTGAAGTGAAGCCTAAGTGAGGAACAAGACTGGATCTGTTACTACTGAGAGGTACTTGCACCCCTACTGCTCCGCACCTAACTTTAACTTCCATCTAGCTCTAAATAGCTCAATGCCAATGTGTGGTAGGTGAGAGCGGAGACTGTAATAACATGGTTCTTGGAGGGAAAACCTAGTCTTCTCTGTAGACTAAAGTTTACTGAGGTTTCAACAGACTAAGAAGTATCTGTCAGGTCTGTCCTCCAGTCTCTTCACAGACACCCCAAATTGGGTTCTAAAAAACTGAGCTCACGGTCTTTGCAAAGAAGCTGATTTTTTCTTACTCTGTAGTCATCCATTTACCAAATTCTTCCCTGTTTTCTTTTTTTAATTATTATTTATTTCATTTATATTTTTGCATTACAATCCTTATTACACATATAGAGCACATTTTTGGTATCTCTGTATATACAGTCTGTTCACACCAACTTATGCCATTATATATGTAATCTTTTTTCTGCATTACAATTCTTAATACACATATATACCATAATTTTTCATATCTCTGTTTGTATGTAAGGTATGTTGGTCCCAAATTCAAATCTTCATACATGTATTTTGTCTTGAGAATAACTCTCTCTTACAGCTCTCTCTCTCTAATCTCTGCCACCACCTCATAGAGTCACTCTGAGATTTCCATCACAGAGGCTTTGTGTTTCTGCATAAGTATCAGTTGAAGGTAGAGCTTCATAAACTATAGGCTGCTTCTTATTTCTTCCCTGTTCCCATGCAGGCTCTCTGTTCCTCACCTTTACTTAACCTGTTTTAGTGATCAAGACCCGCTATCTTGACTCTACCCTAACTGTTCAAAGGTAGCTATTGACTTAAGTCTGCATGCCATCACATGCTCTACTTAGAGAAATGATTTCACAGCGTTAATCACTGAAACCTTCCTCTTAAACACAATATCTGAAATGTTTGTTGCCATGTGCTCTGCCCATGTTGTTTCCCCTTTTGGAAGAACTTAATCAATCCTTCTTTTCTGGCTATTGGAATAGTGTTGGCTCTTCACGTACTAGTTTGGCAATTAACACCCTAAGCTCCATGTGTCAGTACTCATATGTAATTATATTATCTTGTTTTTTACTCTCTGTTTTCTGTGCTTATGCATGAATGTTCCCTGTTCAACAAAATTATAAATTCCTTGAGGGCCGGAGCTTAACTTATTTTAACATTTTTGTAATCTAATAACTATTCACTGAGCTCCAGCACTTGACTTTGGGGTAAGGTGATGCACAGTCTCTGGTCCTCACAGAACCTGCCTTCTAATGTGCATGTGTATATGTGTGTGTAGGGGAGAGAGATTAAAAAAAAAGTGGACACACATTAAATAATTTGAAACTGAGATAAGTGTCCTGAAGGAAAAATAGAGTATGATAAGAGAACATGACAAAACTTCACTTTGAAAGAAAATGCCTTGGAGTTAAAATCAAAAAGATAAAATAGAAGTAAACAGGCAAGTGGCATCTAAAGAAGCTAATATCTTAGAGGAAGTGAAGTCAGTATCTGTAACCTGAAAGGCAGAAGTAAGCTAGGTGAGATCAGGCTGCTGAGTCCTGGCTAGGGTTGCTTCTAGCACTAAACCTGAGCATCTGCTACGTGAGAGTATGCTTTAGGTGGTGTTTAAGTGTTATAATACATCATAGCAAGGGTCACTTTTGAATAAGGTCATTTGTGAACTTTTGTTGTTTGTATATTAGCCTTTCAAACAATGCTCAGCACACAGACCTTTAAGAACACAAACACAGGTGCTTGTGAAGAGGTGTCAGAATGCCCACTTTACTGACCCATCCATGACCAATGAGAACACAGAGCCAAGGAAATGGATCTGAAAGGGCTCCATGTAGCTTTAAGAATGAGAGGAACTGCTGATTACTGCTTCCAACTTTTGTCTTTCTCAAGTTCAATAAAAAAATAAAAAGGCATGAACCAACAACAACCATGATATGGACTGTAGTCTTTTCCACATTATGAGTTAGATACCAAAATGCTTTATGCAGGCCACCTAACAGATGGTAATGTATTCCAGTCATTACCAATGTGAGCAGGATTCAAACCAGTGACCTCAGGGGCAAGAGGCTGCATATCCAATTACAAATTCTTGCTTTCCTTAAGTGATAAGATGCCTAAAGCAATATATTTTATTTACATCAAGATGCATTGTATAAACTATATTTGATAAAAGAGATGACTTCACGTTCTCAACTTAAATCAAAGAATGCTTACTTAAGTATTTTTTTAATTGAATCAGACTTTAATGCCATCGTATAATCTTTTGGTTAACAGTGCTCATCTTGATTATTCTAACAAAGGAAAACATGGAAATTAATACCTAGTTGTAGAGCTTAGATATCTATAAAAATACATTAGAAAAATTCAAAAGAGATACCTGGGACATCCGTAAAGGTTTCTCCAAGGACAGAGATATGGAAATTGAGTCCTAAGTCCTTTAGATGCATTAATACCTTAAAAAAACTCTCTGGATTTTTGTCATGCTCCCTGAAAATAAACACACAAAACATAACTTTTGTTATCTTATGGTATGTATTAGGAAAAGTGGTTGCCCTTCTCACAGGGCCAATTCTTTTCAGAACCTATGGCTAAGGTTAGACAACAGAAAGTACATAGTATTTTTCTTATTCCCAAAATGATATATTTTCCATTTAACACAGATTTTCTTTTTTAAAGGAAAGACCAATCTTCAAAGGATGATTCTTTCTGGATCATGAGGATGTATCAGAAGTGCTTTTCATTTCTACAGGTCTGAATGCCTTCCTCCCACACTTCCTGAGCTCCTTTGTGCCCACAAGGAACACACAATTTAGGGTGAGCTTACATACTCCTTTAGTCATCTAACAATCTAAATAACTGAATGAAGAGTCATAAATACAGCAAAAGGGGACAGGTCTGAGACTGTCTGCTGAATATTACATTAGGAATTAAAGCTAATCAACATATAAAAGAGTACTAATAAAAATAATACCTCCATTTAATAGAAACTTTGAAAAACACAGATTATTTTTAATTTTTTAGTTTTCTTTCTAAAGACAGAATGAGAAGTGAAAGTACACTGAAATAATAATAATAAAAAAAAACTCCAGTTGGGAAAAAAAAATCACATTAAAATGGAGTTTTTTTTTTTAACATTCTAAGGTGTGAATATTTCTGTATTTCTTGCATTTAATTACACTGTTTTAAATTATCTTATTTTGGACAGATGTAGACCAGATGTCTTCAAAATATTTGTTTTTTATTTATAATTCAGAATTTTAACTTCTTTTTATATTACAGAAAAATAGTTATATATCAGCAATTGAATTTCTCATTTACCAACTAATTATGTAAAATAAATCTGTAAATTGATCAAACTGCTATATGAAATATGAAAATTACATCATTCAGGAAATCTCATGAAAAATGACATCTGTACCCCTAAATGTGTTAATTCACAATTCAGTCAATATTTTCAGTATCATGAATTAAAACAAATGCATCTTCTAATTAACATTTTAAAATGGCATTTATAATCTTACAAAATTTTAAGATCTTATAGAATTAGAGTTCTTTAACGATTTATTTTAAGCTCTGTGTCTCTCAGTTTGATTTACTTCAAATAATAAAGAATGCAATGGCAAAATGTTCATTGCTTTTTAAGATGATGTGCATTACATACATGTACCATTGGGAAGTTTTTGGATAGTTCTCATATATACTACTGCTATGGGCAAGAACAAAGACTCAGAACAGTTTGAGAGGAAAGAATACACCATATGCTATCTTCGACTATATCAATCAAATAGCTGCCACCTTCTCTGTAAAATGTTCTTCTAGTCTGATTCTCTTGGAAATACTTAGATGAAAGAACGGAAACAATATAGCATAATGTATCTTAAAGACGGAGTAACACTGTAGGGAAATCTAGCCACTCAGTTATCTAAATTTTTCATTTTGAGTTCTAAAAATTTTGGCTAGGGATCCCCAAGAGACCATCAAAATATTATAAATATTTCCTACTGTGGTGTGTCTTTGTGTGTATTAACAAAAAAAGTAGATGCAGTCTGGGGTTGGGAGGAGGTTTAACGGGTGGAGGCTGTAGTTCTTAAGATTCCAATGTATTTTCAAAGAAGCAGGCTTTATGGTCCTCCATTTTCAATGTTTCTCTACAAGATAAATGCATTACAATCCAGCTGTATGCTTTAGTTATTTCTTACAAATGGCCCAAAGCTTTCATATTCAATAGTCACTTTGCATAAGAACACAAAAGAGATTTGTGTGAATCCCCTTTTGTTTAAACCATAATATATGGCTGAATATAAGGTGAGAGCCTTTTCTTCCCCCAAATGATCCCTCAGAAAAAGAGGAATTTTATTCTAAAGTCCTTATAAAGTCTCTCATAATATCACACACTCTCCATTACTTTGTTTGAACAGAGTACTGTTTGGGGAATATGCATTAGATTGAAACATCATCAACTCATGAGTTTAGAATGGTTTTAACTGTCTTGCAATTGATAGGACTGGTAAGTGGAAGTAAAGAAATTTAATATTGAGATAGATAGTATTTATTTTGGGAGATATGACCTAACAATTCTAAGCTCTGGAAAACAAGTAATTTAAAGATCACTAAAAAAAGCAACAGAGTAAGTGGTTACTAGAGATCATGAGCAGTAAACAAGTTTTTATAGCTGGGGAAAAGATTTCTAGTGATGGCATCAGACGGTTTCACAAGGTCCTGTACCCAAACCACTTAGATTGAATTCCAAATGACAGGTGGTGGAAACAAACCAGTTGTCTGAAAAGGTAGCACCACCACTCTTATGTCAAGAATGCATGGGAGGGGAGTCAGACCAAAACTACTTCCTGAAATATAAGGGCAATAGTTCTAAAAACCATAATATGTGTTTCAAAGTCTATTTATATCAAATTAGTAGATGGCATATTATAAGCACACACGTCATTATTTTATCTGTATCTCTTTAAGTTTAACATAGTCAATTTAGTTGAAAATTTCTTGGCTTTTTTTTTTAGAAGTGGGAAATTGCTTAATATTCAATCATTAAAGATGTGCACAAACATTAGCCACAGCATGGATGATACTCAGTGACAGAACTCAATGTATTTTATCCAGCAGGCTACTCATTCTAGATATCTAGTGGAACATCCATAGATCTTACCCCAGTGCCCATCCATAGATCTTACCCTTGTCCATTGAGCAGAATATGTGAATCTGTCCTAAGTCCCTTTCTAAGAAATCTAATGTGAGATTCTCATACATATAATTTTAGTGAAAGCATTAAATAAGACAGGATTTAAAGATAATATTGAGTGCCCTTTTCTGCTAATAGCTGTTAATATTAAATATACATTTAATAACACACCTAAATCTCTAGAACCCCACTTGTAGATTTATGGGCTCCTAAACACTTCTGTTCTTATCCACTCCTGGTAGGAATGTAATTTGAAACTATCTTTTAGAGGACAATTTGGCAATGTACATTATGAGCCTTAAAGTGTGCATGACTATTGCCACAATAATTACCATTTAGAAAAGTTAGCCTATAAAGCAAAGATATGAATAGAAATTCAGGTAGAGTGTTCATAATAGGATCGTTAATAATAGCAACTATCTCTACACAATCTAATGGAGTATACACACACACACACACACACACACACACACACGGAGAGAAAGAGAGAGACACACATACATGATACAAATACCATGCAGTCATTAAAAATAGTATTGCAAAAAATGTTGCAGAAGTATGTATTTGGTACTAAGGACTGAACTCAGTGTTTAACCACTGAACCACATCCCCAGCCCTTTTTTATACTTTATTTAGAGACAGGGTCATGCTGAGTTGCTTAGGGCTTTACTAAATTGCTTGCTGAGGTTGGCTTTGAACTCACAATCCTCTTGCCTCAGCCTCCTGAGCCACTGGGATTACAGGTGTGTGCCACTGTGCCTGGCCAGAAGTATCTTTTTTGACATGGAAAAATATTCAAAAAACACTTTCAACTAAGAGAGATGACAAAGTAGCATGTACTATATGATCTGCCTTTGTTAAGTATGCCTAGAGAAGTTTGGGATTAAGTAGGCCAAAATGTTAAAAGGGTTTATCTCTAGGAATTGTTATAAATATTTCTTTTTTTCCATTTTTTCTTTAATAAGCATTTCTTACTTTAATCACTTTTGAGGTTTTAAAGAAATCTTCCTCTCTAATATCATACCATTAGATTGCATTCATAGGCTTTTTGCTTAACTCTATTACATTTTTAGTATTCACAGTAGCATCATCTCTCTGTTCCTTTGACCCCTCCATATTTGACAACTGCCAATCTAGCAAACTTGACTTATCACAGAACATTCAACTAGATGGGTCAGGGTCCAAGCTTCCCAACAATCTCCAAACTCTTGACTAGGTAAGAATGAAACAATCTGGCTGGGAATTCTTTACTCAGCACCCCCACCATGGCAGAAGAGACCAGCACGGAAATATTTCAGGCTTACTGGAAGCAGCAGATACAGCAAGAACAGCTTTTATTCCCAAATATTATTCAGAACATTTGAAAAGCATAAACTGTTTCCATGTGTTTTTTCTTCCTATATCTGTCTCTCTCTGTTGCCTTTCCCATTTCGTTTCTAAGAGCTAAATTTCTTCTTATTCCTCACTTAACATTCGTTCAGTAAATATTTATTGAGGATTTCTAAGTTCTCCATACTTGTCACTTATCCTAAACTGTTATCCTTTCCTATTTTCCCACATAACTTTATACATATTGAATGCAATCTCTTTGATCTAGTTCCTTGCCTGGCTTGGGTAGAAACCTGGCTCTTCACAGATATTAGCGTTCCCAGGAGCATGCTCTCTGTGCTGAGAGCTCCATGGAGGAAGGATAAAACATACCTGTCTTGTTAACCATTAAGCACCCAGTGCCCAGTTGAGTAGTCACCCAGATGACTTTTGCTCATCAAAATCTAGTTCTTTGTATCTGGGCACACAGAAGACTCTCTATTCACCCCCTTAGAGTGGGACCCAGCTAAAGAACTAGTTGTGACTAATGGATTGCTAATTGATTGACATGCATCACTGTCAACTGAAAACATCCAATAGCAGTTCTGGATACTCCTTTTCCACTATGGAAAATCTTGTGTTAAGATGATGAGGTCAAAAGAGTGAAGCAGACTGGATTGCCATATTGGAGAGCTGCCCTAAACAGGCAACAGATGAAGAAGGTGGGAGACGATGCATGTGTTTAAGCAACTGATATTTGGGATGAGATATGGGATGTGTTCATTTTTGCAGCATAACGTAGCTTACCCTGACCTAAACATCTGTGGAACAAGTTAGCTGCTCTATAAATATCTGTTGAGTAAATGAAGGTGTTGGAAAGACAAGTCACATCTATAGAGTTCCTGTTATGTTCCAAATCCTGTGCTGAGCACCTGATCATAATCTCACTTGAGCTTCTCAACCAAGTGGTCATACAAATATAACT